CTTGCTAAATAAAAGTATTAATTTCTATAATTTATTTTCCAAAAAGATTTACTCAACTGTTTCTTAAGCAGCAAATCAGCATATTAGAATGATCTCTGAAGATCATGTGACGCTGAAGACTGGAGTAATGATGCTGAAAATCAGCTTTGATCACAGAAATAAATTACATTTTAAAATATATTCACATAGAAAACAGTTATTTTAAATAGTAAAAATATTTCACAAGGTTTGGTGAACATAAGAGACTTCTTTAAAAACATTAAAAATCTTACTGCTCAAAAACTTTTGACTGGTAGGTTATATAGGCATATATATACAGTATATATATATAGTATAATACAGAAATGTTATATTCTGACGTTATATACTTGTGCTCCGAGAATATGTTCATTGCTATACAGTAGGGGGTGCTATTACACATCTTCGGTACAGAATTTACAAAACGCAAGCGAAGAAGAAACTGAAAAAACAACAGATGCTTCCACACGTATTCTAACACGATCATCAGACATAAAGCAGCATCAAAACTGTGTAACGTTATGGAATAAAAGGTTGACCAATGAAGAGGTAATAATGATTGTCAAGCTTTGGGGTGTTGATCGATCAAAGTTTACTACTGTTATACTTAATGTATACTTAAAAGTATTTATATACTATTATATACTAATAAGTGGGCCAATTTAGTCCCAATGAGTATTGAAATAGTACACTAACAAGTATACTACTAGTACACTGCTATTTGTTTACTTACTACATAAAGTATACTTAATAAAATAAACTTGAAGTATACTTCTTTTCGACAAGGGAGTAATTCCGTCAACTTGCGAGGAAGGGCTTTTCATATTATTCTGTCTACTGGTCATAGGTTTTTATTTACAATGTGTTTTTGTAATGTTGAGCAATGTAGCCAATCATAGACATATCTATTGATTTCAATAACGCAATGGCCAGTCAAAGGTGGTCACAATTAGATGAGTTTTAAGGACTAAATTAGCAACTGCAGGGGGACTTTAAGCATTAAAATGAATGTGAAAAGTGTAAGGATATTCATAATCATATATGACATTTTGAAGCAGCATCATCTATAAATCAATGTGATTTTCTTTTTGTTTTTTTAGTGTTGATTTCCAACATCTCCCCTGGATGCACTCAAGGTGATTCATATTTTTGTTTAAATCTTCACTTTTTTTGCTCTAAAATTGAACAAGAGTGTTTTTTGTTTTTTTTGCCATTTTGCCTTATTGTACAGATCAGTTGACATTATTCTCCTCACCTTTCAGCCATCGAACATCAAAAGGAAACGTAAAAGTGTAAGAGTACTAACAAATTAGTTCAGACGAGTCTTTCTGCAGCAGTATTATGGAACGTGTTAAATAATACCATAGTTAAAGTAAGCTTATATTATGTTTGTGTAATGTTTAATGTTTGAATTCATTTTGACAAATGCTGAATTTCCCTGCTTTAGAAATATTCAAGTAAACACTGGTAATAGGAATTAGAAGTGAAAAGGGGAAAAATTACACAAATCTGAGAGCAGACAACAAAAGCCACTGTCTGTTGTCTTTTTCATATTAAGACAGAAGAATACAAGAAAATAGTCATCACAACAAAGCTCTTGTGACAGATATTCTTGTGATCCTAATGTCACACAAAAACACAAAGCCTTACTTTATTTCACTGATGGAAAAAATAGAGCATGACAAAAAATGTACAGCTCATAGAGTCAAACTGACGCATAATGATTATTTGTAGCACAGATGCAATATTTGAAGTTAACCCAAACTGGAAGTGTCACCCATAAATTAAAACATGGCGGGTTAAAAAAAAAGGTGGATAGAACAGATTTAAAGGGATAGTTCACCCAAAAATTTAATTTCTTTCATTAATTACTCACCCTCATGTCGTTCCAAACCAGTAAGACCTTTGTTCGTCTTCGAAACACAAATTAAGATATTTTTGATGAATACCGAGAGCTTTCTGACTCTGCATAGAAAGCAATGCAACTGAAATGTTCCCAAGTCCAGAAACTTAGTAAAGACATGACTTTATGCAACAATTCTTCTCATCTCGTCTGCAGCAGTGCGCTGCCATTGTGGAGAGAGTATCACACGCATAAACAACGCATGCGTGTGTTCAACGTAAGCAGCAGAACGTGCATTATTTTTTGTTATTTTTGTCGCATGGACTATTTTACCAATGTCCTTGCTACGTTTCTGGATCTGGGAACATTTCAGTTGCATTACTGTCTATGGGAGGGTCAGAGAGCTCTCAGATTTCATCAAAAATATCTTAATTTGTGTTCCGAAAATGAACGAAGGTCTTACGGGTTTAGAACGTCAAGAGGGTGAGTAATTAATGACATAATTTTCCTTTTTGGGTGCTATCCATTTAAATAGTTTCATTATTGATATACATATTTTGTTGTTGTTGTTCAATTCTTCCAGAGAGACCTAAACCTCTTCTGACTGTTCAACCTGAACCATCCCAGATATTCATTGGAGATACAGTCACTCTCACATGTGGCATACAGGGTGACGGTTGGACATACACATGGCGGTGTGGAGGCAGAGAGCAGGCCTCTAAGAAGAAAGAGTTCAACATCACTGCAGTGTCCAAACAGAAATGCAAGTGTTGTGGCAAGAGACAATCAGACACCTCTGAATGGAGTGATGAAGTGACTCTGACTGTGTTGTGTGAGTCATCATGATCTTGTTCAGCCCAAAAATATGCTAACCTCTGATAGAGAAGCTTAGGTCTGATAGCTTCCCAGAAGGAACTTGCTCACTGTTATAAATCTAACAAATCATTTCCTGTGTCATTTATCTAATAAACATTATATATATCTTATAAATTAACTTCAGGTCAACAAAACTTTTGCTTTGTGTTGGATTATTAATAGCAATATGAGAGTTACAGTATAGGCTTATCTCATTGCAGATAACATGAATCCAGGCCATTTTCAACCAGAAATTTAATTAATCTAGCCTAGCATGCCCCTGGTGACTGTAACATGTAACTAATAAAAATAAATAAATAAAAATAATGTATTATTATTATTAATTATGTTTTCAACTCAAATGTAAATATGCATGTAATGATAAATCCAATTAAACTTTCTAATGCCTCCCCCAGTCTCATTTGCGTAAGAAGTTGGTTCTTTAAAGAACCATCTCTTTCTTACCTTTTTATAATCTGAAGAATCTTCTTTCACCACAAAGAACATTTGTGAAACAGAAAGGTTCCTCAGATGTTAAAGGTTCTTTATGGAACCATTTAGACAAAAGGTTATTCTATGGCATCATAAAGCACCTTTATTTTTAAGAATGTAATTGCGTTACTTAGTTGCTTTTTATGAAAAGTAACACATAACGTTACTTTTGCATTACTTTTCATCATCTAGGCTGGGCTTATTTATTTATTTTTGTAAATAACCCCAAAATAATATTTTTGGCAACTGTACGGGCCCTTTCACACCAAAAGGGAAATTAATAAGCCTAAAGAAAGTGCCTCTGCCTTTGCATGTCACTCCCAATTTCTCTCAACTTGAGGACAGGATGGATGTCAGTGAATACATGGTAAAAGTAACTTGCATTACTTATTTGAAAAAGTAACTCAGATATTTCATTGTAAATTTAAAAGTAATGCATTACTTTAGTTACTTGAAAAAAGTTATCTGATTACGTAACGTCTCGGTTCCCTGATGGAGGGAATGGAGACATTATGTCGTGACGACATTATGGGAATTCACTTGGGAGCCCCAATCATCTCTGACTTTAAGAGAAAACGCCAATGAAATTTGGCTAGTGGATTTTGCCGGGTATAAATAAGCGACAGGTGCATCCACTCTTCAGGTTTTACGCTGAGGAGTCGAGAACTTGTCCATGGCCGCCAGCATTGGTTCGAGGTTGTGGCAAGGGGACATAATGTCTCCGTTCCCTCCATCAGGGAACGAGGGTTATGTACGTAACCGAGATGTTCCCTATCTGTCGATCACTACGAGTTATGTCGACATTTTGGGGCCCTGGAAAGCGCCACAACCTGAACCTCGTCACAATCCTATGGCGTAGCCAAAGTTGGCAAGCGGCCGCGTGTCAGACAAACACCACACAAAGGTTGTAACCTTCCCACCGCCCCAGCGCAAATTCGCTGACCTTGGTACCTGCAGGGACCACAGGTGAATACATCGCTGCTGGAGATAGTCAAGCCGCTGTTCCTTTCCCCACAGAAATTTCTTAACAGAAGGGATTTCGACCTTTGATGAAAGATTTGCTTCAAGTCTTTCCAATTTGTTGTTTACAGCTTACGCAGAAACAATGGGGAAACGAGCCTTCCGGAGAAGGGCGCTGCGGAGGCCACACCCTACCCGTAGGGAGGTAACAAGTGGAGATTCTCATATGGACTGACCCAGGCCTGGGGCAGTACTACATATGGAATGGGTCTCTGGGGCAGGTCCTACCTGAGAGTAGGAATGGAAAAACTGCCGGCAGAGACTGACAGAACACTTTGTCAAAGGGAAGACATGGGTTTACAGAGAGGGAATCCTTACCGTGGAAGAATACACATATGGGATTGCCCGCAGGGAATCAAGCCATATGGACACCTAGCCCAGTACAGGGGCTGACCGGAGACCTGGGCAAGCTAACACCGATACTGGGCCTGGTGTCAGACTGCTCTGCCCAGTCTGACTGCTGGGGGTTCTGGAGGATACTCCGCCAAGGTTCGCTGTCCGGGGAACTTACTGGAGAAGGAGAAAGGCACTCGCATCCCCGGGTGAGGGGGAATGGCACAGCAAGCGTGACACCGGCCAGCTCTTCCCAGCTCTTCCCGCTGGAAGCTTCACACTCCGTGTGGAGTGAGCCCTCACCCCCAGGGGGCATGGCAAGCCTTGGGATTGGTACATCAAGGCGATGGTATCCACTATCCAGTGGGCCAACCTCTGCTTGGAGACAGCCTTCCCTTTCTGCTGACCTCCGTAGCAGACAAAGAGCTGCTCAGAGCTTCTAAAGCTCCGGGTGCGGTCCACGTATATGCGCAGTGCTCTTACGGGACACAGCAACACAAGGGCTGGATCTGCCTCCTCCGAGGGCAGTGCTTGCAGATTCACCACCTGATCACGGAAAGGCATGGTGGGAACCTTGGGCACTTATCCAGGCCGGGGTCTCAGGACAACAGGAGAGTAGGCCGGCCCGAACACAAGGCACTCTTCGCTCACTGAAAATGCGTGGAGGTCCCCGACCCTCTTGATGGAAGTGAGCACGGTCATGAGCGCTGTCTTAGTAGACAGGAACTTAAGCTCGACTTAAACCAGCGCCTCAAAGGGACACCTCTGAAGTCCTGCCAGGACGATAGAGAGGTCCCAGGAGGGCACCAGGGGTGTCCTAGGAGGATTTAACCTTCTGGCACCCCTCAGGAACCTGACGATGAGATTGTGCTTTCCCAGGGACCGGCCGTCCACTGCATAGTGATGTGCTGTGATAGCAGCTACATACACTTTCAAGGTGAGTGTGACAGCCTACGCTCCAACCGTTCTTGCAGGAAAGAAAGCACTACTCCAATCGTGCATCTTCGGGGGTCTTCTCGGTGAGAAGAACACCAGTTCACAAACAGACTCCATTTCAGAGCATAGGCTTGCCTCGTGGAGGGAGCTCTTGCCTGAGTGATCGTGTTCACCACCGCAGGTGACAGATCAGCTAGGTCTGCCGCGTCCCGTCCAGGAGCCACACGTGGAGGTTCCAAAGGACTGGACGCGGGTGCCAAATGGTGCCGAGCCCCTGAGAGAGGAGGTCTTCTCTCAGGGGGATGCATGAGTTCCGGAAACCAGGTCCTGGAGAGCCAGAAAGGCGCAACCAGTAAGACCTGCTCCTCGGTCTCCCTAACCTTGTACAGTGTCTGTGCGAGAAGGATCACTGGGGGAAACGCATACTTGCAAAGAGCCCGAGGCCAGCTCTGTGCCAGATCGTCCGTGCCGAGGGGGGCCTCGGTCAGGGAGTAGTACAGCTGGCAGTGGAAGGACTCGCGGGAAGCAAACAGGTCCAGCTGGGCTTCCCCGAATCGACTCCAGATCAGCTGGATTGTCTCGGGATGGAGTCGCCATTCTCCGGGGAATGTGAGCTGTCATGAGAGCGCGTCTGCTACACGATTGAGCTCCCCCGGAATGTGGACGGCGCGGCGACTTGAGCCGCGTCTGACTTCAGAGGAGGAGATGGCGGGCGAGCTGTGACATGCGAAGTGATCGTAGACCTCCCTGCCGGTTGATGTACGAAACTGCCGCAGTGTTGTCCGTGCGGACCAACACATGCTTGTCTTGCAGCACTGGCCGGAACTGCTGCAAGGCCAGATGCACTGCCAACAGCTCTAGGCAATTGATGTACCAAAGCAGTCGGGAACCTGTCCAGAGCCCCGAGGCTGCCTGCCCGTTGCATGTAGCGCCCCAGCCCATACTGGAGGCATCCATCGTGACAACGACATGCCGGGACACTTGTCCTAAGGGCACCCCGGCCTGTAGAAAAGCAAGGTTCGACCAGGGGCTGAATAGGCGGTGACACGTCGGCGTGATGGTCACTCGATGTGTACTGTGGCGCCATGCCCACCTCGGGACTCGGGAGTGTAGCCAGTGCTGAAGTGGTCTCATATGGAGCAATCTGAGCGACGAGACTGTGGCTGCGAATGCCATATGCCCCAGGAGCCTCTGAAAGTGTTTCAGTGGTACCACCGTCCTGCCTCTGAAGGAACTCTGGCAGTCTAGCACAACAAGTGTATGATGCTACAGTGTTTTGAAATCTGTTCTGATTGAACTATTAAAAAATGACTGTTGCATATACATTTTTGTTTTGTTTTAACGGTAAAACATTTTGTGTACTTCTAAGGATCAATGACCTCATTTATTTTACGTAAAAATTAAAATATTAAAAAGTAACGCTCTTTACAAATAGCATCTAACCACTATTTACACTGAGTGCAAAGATTTATTTATTTTAAAAAAATTGTGCTATTTACACTTAGTAACACTTAAATAGCACTAAATAGCTATTTGCACATATAGCATCTGCCTTACTTTACTCATAATTACAGAAAAGTTGCTGTAATATATATTATTGAAGTCATAAGTAGTCATACATAATGACAGAAAGCTGTTCATTAACTCAGAATTGTGAAATATTTACAGACAAACCCAAAATAACTGTAAAGCCCCAGAGTTCAGTGTTCACTGGAGACACAGTTACTCTGAGCTGTGAAGTGGGACAGTCAACTGGATGGACAATTTTCTGGTTCAAAGACTTCACGAGAATAAAAACTGGTGATGAAATGGAAATACTGAGTAATGTGAGTATCTCTAATGGAGGACAGTATGGGTGCAGTGCAAGAAAAGGAAAGTATTTCACAATTCAAAGTCAAAGAGTTGTGATAACAGTAAGTGGTAAGTGTCGTTTTTTTTTTCTTTACTGGGCAGTCTAATTTTGAATTTGCTATAATATTATGCAAATTCATATAATCTATCAACAAGTATCGTATTAAGTGCAGTCAGTTAAATGAAACTTCAGTTAATCTTAAAAAGCCTTGTCATATAGACAGCTTAAAACTATGAAAGTTTTTTTAAACACGTGAAGTGTGTCCTGCAATCATTACAGAGAGACCCAAGCCTGCATTGCATGTTCAGCCTGATGGACATGTGTTCAGAGGACAGACGGTCACTCTCACATGTGACATACAGGAGACAGACGTGAGCAGCTGGAGCTACAACTGGAATAAAGATGATTCAGTGATTCATGTCAGTCAATCACAGGAATACCGAATCAGTTCTGTTAATGAATCTCACACGGGTAATTACAGCTGTGCTGGAAGAGAAACCCAAAGATCACGATACTCACACACCAGTGATAAAGTTTCACTGACCGTATCAGGTGAGAGTCTTTATATCTGTTTATCACTCTGACTACATGAGCAAAAATGAACAGAACATGATTCACAAACGGCATTAAATTCAGACACAAATCAACTGGATTTTACATCAATGGAAGAATTACTGTTCACTAAGATCAGTGTATCCTGTTAAATTTGTATTCTTTAACAAAACAAAAAGTCCTATTAAATCTCTTAGATGGGTCTAACATTTGTCAAATTTACAATTGTCTGGTTCTATTTTATGTTTTTAAGCTCCATCATCAGTTCTCAAACTGCTCAGTTTTCTGCTGGCAGCTTCTCCATATCTGCTAGTGTCCGTCATACTGGGAGTCAAGTGCTACAGAGCCTATGGTGAGATCTCTCTCTTTCTCATCTGTTCTGTTACAGATGGGTTTATGATCTATCGTTGTTAACTTTTATTAAAATGTCACTTATTCCAAGTTTGGGTGTTTTACAGTTGTCACAGAGGAGTGAAAATCTACAGCTGTGATGAATGAACCCCATCAGTATTCTGTTTTTCTGTTTAACAGTATTTTTGGGTCTGAATTAGACAATAATCTCTAAGTTCAAATGAACTCGAGTCTTGAGTCACATTAGTTTACTCTTTTAAATCTTTGCATTAAACACTGTAAAACTTCTAAGCCAAATTCTAACAGTAACATACCATTGAAAACAATGCATTGTATATTGTTTCCTTCTGTTAAAACAACTGCACTGAGTACACTGCACCTGTCTGAGTGCCATAAGTATTCTTTTTTTCCAAATAATGCAATATGGTTTTAGATTCTAGTTCTTAATAAACCTTTCTTTTGGAATCATCATTTTCAAGGCCCTACATGATTCAGTCCCAGGGATATGGGGACCTCAATGAGGCTCCATATTCAGATAATTGAATAATACCAATTGAATACCAGTTGAAAACCAAAATGTTGTTCAAAATCAAAAATATGAGCCAGGGAAGTTTCTCAAATTTGGTTGATGCTCCGGGGGGTGAATAAAGACCTCCTCTAGTGAATCGATGGGTTTTTGTAAGAAAAATATCCATATTGAAAATGTTATAAACACTTTTCTCTCACTTCCGCTAACTGTAATGCGTGCAAGCCATTCAGGGCATAACGCATGCGCCTGTGAAATATGCTAGTCTTGCGAGTTTGTTTACAGGAGCAAAGGAAGCAAAGTTTCCTTACTTTAGCAACGGAAAACCAGTCTCCTCTGGGCTTATATCCTACATTTTTCTTTACAAATCCTTGTTTTGTACTTCTAATTCTTGAGCGGTGTTTTGTTTTGCTCTCTCCTCCACACTTCCATGTTCGTCACTAATCACAGGTGCAGTTGTAGCGTTTATTGCATTGATTTTTAATAGGATAAACTTGTTGATAATCATATTGATATAAAAATACTTAATTAAGAAAATATATTCTTTCATTGTTATTAACAACATTAAGTGCATTAAACATTATTTTATGTCACGGTTTCCCAAACTGGGGTTTGTGAATGAACTGTAGGGTGTTTATGAGTTTAATGAAAAGCTAATAATTAATTCAATCATAAAATAAGTCATTACAAAATCAATAAAAATAAAACACTTACTAAAAAATATATATATCTTTTTTTATTTGTTTGCCCGCATGACCATAGCCAACATCAGAGAACCATGAACATTCAAATGTGATTCTTAATTATTAAAATATTTATTTAAAAATCTCAGGGGTACTTCAAGTAAATATATTAGGTGAAAGACTATCAGATGAGAAAAAAGGTTTGTGAATTTTGAATTCATAAATTTGTGCATTTTATTGTTTGAAAGACAAAATCCTTCTAAAGACATCGAAATACATGGTAAAATAACCTACAGAGTGATACTGTAATTCAAATAAAAATGAACGTGTTCATCAGAAGTTGATGCAATATTTAAACACTTCTTAAACCTGAAATTATTTTTGTAAATCAGTGGTCAAGTGTTGTGTCGCCACCTGACTAATGACTGGTTTTTGTGTGAATCTCCACAAAACTGGAGGACTTTCTGAGTGTATAAAAGCAGAAGGCTATTTTAGAAAGGAACATTTAAAAGATTAAAAAGAAGAATTAGGGAGACTCAATAAATTATGAATAATTTATTGCTATTTTGTAAATAATATGTAATCATCTAATCCATAAAAAAGTAACTGTAGTCTGATTACGAGTATTTTTAAATGTAATTAATTTTTGGAATCTGATTACATAGTCCAGATTACATGTAATCAGTTAATACCCAGCTCTGTCTCCCATTCCCGATGAATCACTGCAATTAATCAGTTCTTTACAAAGAATTTTGGTCAAACTGTTTAGCATCATTGTCTGAATCGGATAGTGATTCAGTTTGAATCATTTGCATAGTTTGCTAATGTGCCCTGAACTGTTCTCACGTCATTAAACTGAAACGCAATATTTAGAACAGAGAACGAAAATAAGGCTGGATTAAGTGGAATATAGACCTACGAACAATATGAAATGAAACCAGCATATATCTTTTGGCAGCGATGAAGGAGATCTTGACGAAGATCAAAGCCTGTGTGTGCAGCATGTAAACAACTCTGTAGGTAAACCAATAGATTACCAACACAGTGATAACATCCAAAGCTCTGATAGTATCATGGCATTCTTTAAAGCTATTGGAATAGCATGTAAACAGCATGGTACATATTAAAATATCAATAGTCAAGTCAAGTCTGCTTTATTGTCAATTCTTCCACATGTACAGCACATACACACAGAGAATTGAAATTGCGTTACTCTCAGACCCTTGGTGCATACAGATAACACAAACAGTAGAACATAAATACAGATATACAGATTAAATATCGATCTTCTCAGCTGCTCTCACTATGCGTTGAAGTGTCTTGCGGCAGGATGCGTTGCAGGCACCATACCACCTTGTTTCCTTCTGTTAAAACAACTGCACTGAGTGCACTGCACCTGTCTGAGTGCCATAAGTATTCTTTTTTTCCAAATAATGCAATATGGTTTTAGATTCTAGTTCTTAATAAACCTTTCTTTTGGAATCATAATTTTCAAGGCCCTACATGATTCAGTCCCAGGGATATGGGGACCTCAATGAGGCTCCATATTCAGATAATTGAATAATACCAATTGAATACCAGTTGAAAACCAAAATGTTGTTCAAAATCAAAAATATGAGCCAGGGAAGTTTCTCAAATTTGGTTGATGCTCCGGGGGGTGAATAAAGACCTCCTCTAGTGAATCGATGGGTTTTTGTAAGAAAAATATCCATATTGAAAATGTTATAAACACTTTTCTCTCACTTCTGCTAACTGTCATGCGTGCAAGCCATTCAGGGCGTAACGCATGCGCCTGTGAAATATGCTAGTCTTGCGAGTTTGTTTACAGGAGCAAAGGAAGCAAAGTTTCCTTACTTTCATGTTCTGTTATACGTTCTGCATTGCATCTCTAAGAGTCACTGTATTTACAACACGGGAGAGAAATGACAATAAACCTATACTACTGACTTGCGATTTTGGGTGTTGTGAAATTGGAAAAATTGACATTCATTTGGAAAAGTTTCATGCGTGCAGACAAACTAAAACAATGTAATTAGAACGTGAAACATGAATGAAGGGTTTTACATCCTGACACATAAAAACCTCAGCACTGCTAGATCTGATCTGACCAAAATAGAAAAGGTCATATGATAATTGCTGTGAATTTCGGCTAATTAGAATTGTCAAGAGGTTTTATCATCCATTAGAGATAGCTGGATTCACTACACATACAAAAAGCATGGCAACGAATGCACATCTGTCTAGTGGTTGTAGAGGAGACTGAAATTTGAAGTTTATGCTGGTGAAATGATGTTAGCATGGCCGTGTTCATTACCTTAAAAGGCTATAGTGCAGATAATGACTAGAAGACCCAACATAACAATTAATGGACAAATGAAAGGAGTCGACTAATGCACTCAGACACACTTTCAGTTAGATTGCATATTATTTTCCTCTAATTGGTGTTCCCCTAAAATCTAACAATGTGGTCTGATAAAATAAAATCTCTACTTGATGTCATAAGTGATAAATTATAGATTCTTTCAAATGACTTAGAAATAGACCCCCTGCAGACAGATACAAACGTTGTGGGGGGAAATGAAACGCTGCTGAGGAACTATTTTTCAACATTTTACCCACTTGACTCGTGTAATGGCGAGGCGGAGGAATATCCGAAGCCATCGTGCAATTACCTCAGATTATATGTAAACATTTGGGTTTGCTGTGTGAGGGCCATAAAAAAGAATTCCATTTCAAATGTGTTTTTCACTCGATGTAAAGAGTTTCTCTTTCAGACGAAACAGACCCCCTTTTTTAAAGGTAATAATTTACCTGTCAGAATCGCAGCGGATGCACAGCAAGACTCCACTTCGCTGAGGCACTAATGGAAAATCCATTCTGTTTATGTTTCAGAGAATCCCTGAATATGCTTGAATCGTGTTAAATGTAACTAATTTGTCGTCTTTATATCTTTCCAATTCTCGCAACACATTATGAGGAGAGCGGCTAAATCTTAATGATTCATTTTTAGACTGAAATGAAAGTTACACATAAAATAGCCTGTTTACTTGAGGCGGTTTGGAAATGAATCATGTGTTTACCTCATTGGATGGTATCAAAAACAGAGAAAAGAGCGTTTGCTCCTCAAATTTGCTAATAGATTAGTTGAAGATTACAAAATACTATGAATAACCATATTGATTGTGCAGTTAATGACAATAACATAGAGGGACATCTAATACAAGTGCGCCATCGTCTGGTAATACGCTTACTCTTTTGTCCAAAAATAAATAGCCTATTTCATTCTAAAGGAAAGTCATTCTAAAACTATTTATTTTCACTTGTAGGTACTGCTAATTACATAAATAATGTTTAAAGCCAAGAATGTCAAGACAATCTATTGGATTTATTGTAATTTAAATATTATTCACAGTCATAAAAGCACAGTTTAAATCCTAAACACTAATTTTCAGTCCAGTTTGTAGTATTGTCCATTGTTTCCTCCCAGCATCTCTTCAACCTTCTCCAGCAGCTTCACCACATCAGATTCCCGGTGTCCATTGTTAAGCACATGGCATCTATTCCCACACTTTCGAACCAGTCGCTCCAGGTCGCTGTTTCTCTTTACATGTTGCTGGATGCTCTCTCCTAATGTTTCCCCCCAGGTGAGCAGAATGATAGTGTGCCTCCATGATGATTTTCCTAGTGCAGACATGGTACGTTCCACTGCATGCCTGTACTGACCAGTGAAGGACACGTAAGCGGGAATCACCAGGATGAAGGCGTGTGGTCCAGGTTGACACATAGAGATGCTTTGAGAGAGGTGTTTTTGAAAGGTGTCTTTACTGTCAGATCCAGATCTCCATTTCAGGCCCTGAGGCTCTACGATAGTGAGCTGTCTGCCGGATATCTCTCCCCTCCAAGGGTTGCTTCTATCTGAATCAGGCCCCATGATAGTGCATCTCGCTGGGTGACGGGATGACCAGGAGTCTCCTAAAAGCATCAGCCTTTGCTCAGACACAGGCCAGGGTGTATGTAAAGTAGGTTGGAAACTGGTGCTTGAAGATTCAAAGAAGTCTTCGTCACTTTTACCATCTTCCTCTTTTTGCTTGGCCTCCAGTGTTTGCTTAACCCTTTGGTTCTTTACCGATCTGTTGTTTGCACGGTTTATAGTAGCCAACTCCATTCGCTCTTCACTTCTTGTGT